TCTACTGAACCATACGGAAGGGTCTGATTCCATCATACTAACACCACATCCAGAATTTAATCCCCACACAGCCTGGCCCAGAGCCACTGTGTCTACTTCCTATTGCCCGCCACCTTCTAACTCTGTATTCAAAGCTGAGCCCAGGCCCTCTGCTTCAGCAGTGGAGGGAGTAGAAGCAAGCATTGCTTCCTGCAGGCAAACGGCAGTGCAGAACAGTCCCATACCCAGAGTCTGCTGGTCCCGGAAGTGATGGAGGGAGAGTGACCTAACTCACAGGCTACACAAAGGACAGAGGACCCAGGACCCTCTGCACAACTTCATCCTGCAGTGTCTGCCATGAGGAAGGAGTCCTGCATGGAAGACTCCCACGTCCCTCAAAGGTCTAATTAACAAGCAATTAGGCGAATGAAGAAGCAAGAAAAATGCCCCTTTACTCCTACAACTACAGTCTCACAAATCCTTCCCCCTAAGGATTCAGCCATGTGACGAGTCTCAGGATAATCATTCCCTGTGTGCTTTCAGTACGAGGACTCTGCATTACCGGCAGTGGTACCTGCTACCACCGCCAGAGAGAACGACTGTACACTGCAAAGAAAAAGGTATCGGCAGTAGAACATTATATACTGTTTTAAGAATTTTATACCAAGGAATCTGACTGTGAATCATTATTTCTGACAATGCATCTTGATTGCATTGCTGTCATTTCAAGAAACAGTACTGTCAGGGGACCTCTTCATTGCAAATTATAAAACGAGGTACCCATGATGAACATTCAGTAAACAGACGACACACTAACAGACAAAAGTGCATTACTTTTTATCGAGGTGTTCACATAAAGAATCTATTATTTATTGCTATACAAAGTCTGCTCAATTAACACATACAACATTTCTGGTGCACTTAAATCTTTAGATTTTTCTTTGTATTTTTCACTTTTGAGGCTGAACAGAAGAACATCAATCTTAAAATTGAAGAATAACAATGCAACACCATTTGGCAATATGACACTGTCAGTTTTCCAAATTTGACAGCAGCTGGTAAAAAAGTATGTCAGCAATTTCGTACAATGTTTTTCTGGGAGATTGAGTGGGAACATTCCATACAACAGGCATATTCAGAATAGAAGAAAACATTGTGTTCTAGGAAAAGTAATTTTATACACTTTACACTCTTTATTGTCCATGATGGTTCTTTAGCTAAGCGGAAAATTTAAAGTTTTAACAGATTTTTGAAAAATCCAGAAACAGAAGAGTTGTTTTAGTTTTTGCCGTTTTTGTTTTCCATGTTGAGTCCTTCCCATAGGTCATAGCCTAAATACTGTTACTTCTGCCTTTTATGTCTTTAGTACTCTTTCCAAGAAAGTTGCTGGAGAGAGCTCAAGAAAGACAAGCACAAATTTCTTTACAGAAGTGCTTAACTACAGCCCTATGTGAATAAGTGAACAATTTTTTCTTCCCAGAAGGAGAAATACTGCAGCAGTAACACACACAAAAGCAATGACCACAAACAAAACAAAACCAACTCCAACTCTGATATAATACAGAAAACTATTTACTTTGAACAGCAAATTAAAATACACATTTAAACTGTATACCACAAAATCAAGCATGTTTAGCTATTATAAATTAATCCTAACACATTTTTAAGATTTTGTTGAGAACCTTCCATATTGGAAGGTCTGGCTACAAATGAGTTTGCAGAGCTTAAAAACAATTGTCACTTAAGTAAAGAAAAAATAGCAGCATGCACTGCCAGATAACCTGGTGGAGGGCTAGAAGAAAATAATTTTAGACAAAATAAGTCACAGCACAAGAAAAGCATCTGCACATTGCAGAGCTCACCCAACTGAACTCAAACAAATGGAATCTGCACATTGTTTAAGTAGCTCTATTTCCATCACTCACTTGGTTCTCACATGCTTAGAAACATCCCTAGCCTAGCCACAGGATTTCTGTAGAATCAGAACATGAAAGACTACATTTCTCTGACTGCAAACTTACTAAAACATGTCCATATTGCTAAGCAGCTACTGTAACCGCACCATTTAAAAAAAAAGGCTTCCTCTAAATTCCATTAGTGACACAGAAATTTCAGGAAGACAAGTCAGATCTTCTACTGTGTACACAATTCACTGCCATTAAGTAGAAAAGCTACTCTTAAGTGGAGATGGATCTCTATAAGAACAGTCATGCGTTAAGAGCCAGAAGTCCATCTAATGTGAACAACTAAATAAAGCAGCAATTCTCCTCATTTGTTCCCTGTTGAAAACTACAGATCTTATATTCATGCTTTACATTAGATAAAAGCATCTAAATTGCTCTGGGAAACGCTGGTTTTAAATTGATGCATGTTCTGTATTGGTTTTTCCTTCTTTTGAAGACTACAATGCCTATTCCTGCTGTTTCACATGTTCAGCAGAAGCCTGTCATTTCTTACTTATTCCCGAATACAGCAATGTATATGCTATTGTATTCCCACATACATCAAGCATATTTTTCAGCACAAAAGGGTGCCAGATGCTTTATCAATCAGCTTTACTGCATTCCTAAGTAAGAACCATACTCTAATGCCTTCCCCTCAGGTAAATGAGCAAGGGAAAACATTTCATTTTGTGGCAATTCCAGACTACTGAGACCCCTGTCGTTTTGCATTTAAACAATTTAAGGTTATAAAATAAAGGTAAAAAGCAGTATCTTAGTCACTCTTGAAAGTTCTCTTACCCTGAAAGGGACACAAACCTTGAGAAACTACTTTAAATCCTGTTTGTGTTTATAAAGCCGACAAGGCTCCCTGCTCTTGTCTTTCAGTTCATAGCGTAACCTTCAGAAGCAGCAGAAAGGAGATGGAGCATTCTGAATAGTGAGGAGACTGTATTCCAGATGAGCATTTCACAAGTTTCATCTGTCATTTGTCTTTGATGATTATTTCATCGTCTTTCGGGAATATTATTCAAACAAAATTAAGCCTAGTTATGTTAAGTAACCTTATAAGAATCATAATAAACAAAAATTAGACAACACCACAGCGTACTAAAATTTAGTGACCTGGAAGTACCCAGTGCAGAAAAATCAGGAGATGGAATAAAGAGCCCTAATGATATTGTTACAGCTATCACCAGTGAAGTCTATGTAAGTTCCTCCACAGCACCAATTCAACTAGAATCTGAGTTATTTCCTGTTTTTCTGGCTACCTTATGTTTCCAAGATGCTGTCTGACTTGTTAAGAATACCCATATTTAGCCAGCCACAGTCTTCACACAAAGGTCTGCAAGGAAGTGTAATACACAGCTCTCACGCTAATCCAGCAAACACACGTGAAAACCAGTACAAAACAGCATTGACGGGAGAATAGATGCTACTGCTTGTACATAACAGATCATTTATTATTAAAAAAAAGTCTAATTACCACCATGTTCGAAGTTTTTAGAAAAAAACCCACAACACAGATTCCATCTAAGAAAGCAGATAAAAGAGAGACATTATCATATCTATTTTGAAACGATCTAGAGTATTTACTGGAGGAAAAGTCTCCTAACCCCAGTAAATGAATATTGATTTCTTCTCTGGAATCTTTGTTAAAAATCAGAATATTATTTTGTGCAATTCTTTCCATTCAAAGAGTATGTTTCTGATTTTCAGGCAAGCTATTTTCTTATCTGATTATATTTGTACTCTAACAGCCAAAGACTCTCGAACACTAACCTTTTATTACATTGCAATTAACACAGCAGCTAAAAACACAACAAAACCATGCAGCCTAATTCACCCCATCTGTCCACAGACATCAGAGTGCCTAGAAAGAATGTTAGTTACATTTTATGTAATCACTGAAGTCCCACAGCAAGAGGGAATTCAAGCAAAAGGTGATAGATCAGATGAAAGATAGTTAAATTTTAACCTCGACCCCTAAGATTACATTTGATATCATGTTGTTTTAGCATCAATGAAGACACCTGCACAAGAAATCTCTGTGCACACAGAGAAGGGAATAAATGTAAATATTTTCAAAGCCAAGAACTTCAGGATATAAATATCTCACATTCAAAAAGCTGAAAAGGATACCACATCTTTAAAGTTGAGACACAAATGTACCTCCATAAGTAATATTTAAGTCTATAATTAATTATAACATCATGGTCCTACAGATTCCATACTCCCTATACCACATTCTATTTTAGGCACACAACATGACAATGTCTGTATGTCACTAATGCCGAGAATGATGTTTGTGATATATTTAATATCTCAGTTATTGATTTAGACTGTTTGGTGGATACCTGATACATACAGTATCTCCATAGCACAGTGAAATACAGAATTAAACAAGAGGTAGCTAAGGTTACCCTGGTTGGCTACACAAAAGGAACAGTTTCAGAAAGACTGAAGTATACTTAAAGAAGAGAAAAAAGATTAGGGTAGGCTGAGCTGGCAATCTAATTCCAAAGAGGAGTTCTTGCAGGGGAGATTCACATTTGCTCATGCTTAAAAACAGGAGGAATGTTGTTTTAAAACGTATTTTTTAACACATACTATTTTCATAATATTTTGGGACTATTCACTGAAACTCATTCAGTCTAGATGAATTCGGAGGCAACAATGTTCTTGCGGCACTTAAACGCACAGAACCAAACCAATTATATTCTAGTACTTCCATTTACTTCCAGATGCACAGTAGAAAAAAAACTTAGTAGGAATACATTCAGACAATGCACCAGAGGGAGAAGGCATATGCACGAATTGTGTTAAACTGACTCTTATGTAGCCATAGACTATTGATATCTCAGTCGTAATAAAAAATTGACTACCCATTTCCTGCTCAAAAATAGGAAGTATTTAATGCATTTATCTACAAAGCTGACTGCCTCGTTCAAGACAACATTTTTTGTAATACTTGTCGAGACAATAAATATAGCAGTAAAGATACAGCAGAAAGTAAGACATGAAGTTGGCAGAGGGATGCTACCACATGCTGACAAGAGCACTGCTTGCGGCTCACCGCACCTCAACAACGAGCCTCTCCTGCACTGGGCACTGCTATAAAGAAACGCCATGGGTTCAAACAACCTTGAATCAAACTGGGTCCCCCCAAAGGCTGCCAGTTTTGCAAATTCTTCAGTAGGAAGAAGATTTAAAGGCACCATCTCGCAGATGGTTCAAAGACCCAACCTGAAGACGCAGTAAGGAATCCTCTAACACCTTTCCAATCGTGCTACAGTTGCAACAGAATGTTAATGCTATGCAGGGGTCTGCTGCCTGGCTCCAAGCGCTGAGTCCCAGTCCGCTCCGTACAGTATAATGTATTTTGTCACACAGGGAGAACAAAGGTCAGCAGCAAAATAAGAAGCAAAAACTGGAAGGTCAACATTTTAAGAAATGGACAAGGTAAAGCAGGGAAGAGATTTAAAAACAAACCAGCAAAAAAAAATATTATCCCTACTTAAAGACTCTCCAGCCCACAACAGCAATAGTAATTTTAATGATTTTTACAGTGCCTTGTTTTACTACTTAGATTTTAAGCATTAATGATCTGACCGTGTGGTCAGGTTTGCACCAGCTGAATGCAAAATATGATGCTTCTCTGAGGCCTGCAAGCTATCACCGAGTAGCATGTTTGATGTGGATTAAAAACATTTGCTTTAAGTTTCAAAAGCCTGTTAAAGCATTATGCTGCAAACTTTTATTTTATACATGCTTGATTTTATTTTGTGAGCATCCTAGTAATCTATTGCATGTGCTGCTACATTTGAATTCTCAATAAATTTCTAATAGAATACTCAGAGATAAACACTTTAAAATATTATTTAGGACAAAAACTATTCTAGGATTTTTGATCCAACAAAAGCAGGCAATTTTTTCTTTTTATGATTGAGTAAGCACAAGAATCTTTCTGTGTATTTGTCAGATTAGACCGTACATACTCCTTCTGGTTTTATTTTAGAACCACATTCCTCCCTCCAGGCAATTCCATACATCACCACAAATCCTTCTGCCATTTTATCCCAGGCTCTGTATTTATCAAGACACCTCATAGTAACAGCAATGTTCTTCCCTTAGCATGAATCAGGCTTTTAAAACAGATTACAAAGAAACCCTCACAAAAATCCCTATTCTAACAAGATTTGCCAATGTTTCACAATTTAAAGCACTTAAATGTAACTTATAGATTAAATAATGGTTCCTACAAAGAAATACACTATTTTTTCAAGCTGGAGAGGTGGGCCTGTGTGAACCTCATGAGGTTCAACAAGGCCAAGTGCAAGGTCCTACACCTGGGTGGGGTAATCCCCGGTATCAATACAGGCTGGCGGATGAAAGGATCGAGAGCAGCTCTGCTGAGAGGAACTTGGGGGTACTGATAGACGAAAGGCTGGACATGAGCCGGCAATGTGCGCTGGCAGCTCACAGGGCCAACCGTGTCCTGGGCTGCATCAAGAGAAGCGTGGCCAGCAGGTCGAGAGAGGTGATTCTGCCCCTCTACTCTGCTCTGGTGAGACCTCACCTGGAGTACTGCGTTCAGCTCTGGAGCCCTCAGCACAAGAAGGACATGGAACTGTTGGAGCGGGTCCAAAGCAGGGCTACAAAAATGATCCAAGGGCTGCAGCACCTCTCCTATGAGGACAGGCTGAGAGAGTTGGGCTTGTTCAGCCTGGAGAAGAGAAGGCTGCGCGGAGACCTGACTGCAGCCTTTCAGGAAAGATGGGGACAATCTTTTTAGTAGAGACAGCAGTGACAGGACGAGGGGTAATGGTTTTAAACTAAAACAGGGTAGGTTTAGGCTAGATATAAGGAAGAAATTCTTTACAATGAGGGTGGTGAAACACTGGAACGGGTTGCCCAGAGAGGTAGTGGAGGCCCCATCCCTGGAAACATTCAAGACCAGGTTGGACAGGGCTCTGAGCAACCTGATCAAGTTAGCGGTGTCCCTGCTTGCTGCAGGGGGGGTGGACTAGATGACCTCTAGGGGTCCTTTCTGACTCAAAACTTTCTATGATTCTATGATTCTAACTCAACATTCATCTCATTGGTGACATGGTGCACATCTCAAAGGGTCACCAAGAAACACAGCCAGGACTCCAAAACTTTTAAAACCATTTTTATTAGCTTCCAAGTCTGGGAGTCCAGAGACTTCTGCTAAAGCCCTAATAAACTCAGAGTTATATTTAATTTAAGCAATTGCCCTAGATTATCCTATGAACTGTGGCACTTGCCAAGTTCTCTACAGCCCTAGGATTTGTGAAGAGGTCCTCCAGTGGATTATTATGCCTTTTCTGTAGTGCCGAAACCAAAAGCGTCTTCCCTGAACAAAGCTGATGTCTGGGGAATCCTTAACAGTATTCTGGGTTCTTTACACAGTGTCAGGCAACAGTTCCAAAATTACACATTTTAAAAATAAATTTTTGTTGTGGTTACAAATGTAACCCCAGAAAACTAATCTAAGCTCCAGTTTTGATCACTAGAAGTATTTTATGCACAGTTGCTTGGAAAAACAGTTTTCATATCACTACCACACACAAAGTTACCACTACCATGTGAGGCTATCTTTGCTTCTCTTAACAATCGTTAACATTGGGCAACTGGAAAAGGGCGAAACATCGGATGCAGTTCAAGGTGAAATAAAACATTTAACACAGTCCAGAAGAGGACTATTTCAATAAACCCATTTTATATAAAACAAGAATTTCAGAAATATCAGACAAAAAAAATGGCACAAACTTTTTGTTAACCATTGTTGTAAGTGTTATCTTAAAATTTTCAGTATGATCAAACACAATTTATGTAATTAAGACCTCCAGGACAGGAATCCAGTCTCTTCTTGTCTGTAAGAACTGTAGCACATCGCTGATGCAACATACGCAGCAGCAGAAAAGGTAAGATAAAGAGAACCAATCAGACCACAATCATGTAACAGAAAGTATGAATAAGAACAGACAAAAAACAAAATGCTGTTAGTAAGCTGTGTTTTCCTCTTCACCTCAGGTAAGCAGTATCAAATATTTAAGTACCAACTAATGGTCCCACAACCCTAGGAAAAGAATGCTGAAACAAAATCATGCTTATTGGCACCAGACAGGACTTTGCACACACATAACTTCATCTATGTGCTAGTAACAACTCCAGTCAGTCTCATTTGGAAAACAGTGACTTAGACTCAGCACGAAATACAACTCTGCAGGGATGGCAACTTCTCAGGGGTGAATCAAGTTACATTCTTCTTCCTGAAGCTAGTGACTAAACATGTCCATAAAAAACTGAGCAGGGGCAGGAGATGCTGCCTCTTGTAGCTTGCTGCTTCTCAGTTTTCTTGTTATTTGCATTTTGTGTGTGTACAAGATCAACGCTGCATTCATTCAGCAAGTTCCAAATTTGCCTGGAGTGGGGAGGTGAGAGTCATTGCCTCTCACAAATTGCTGCAGCATCCTGATGCATGCCATTCCAAACTCACTTGCACACTCTTTGGCAATCACATACTTGATTCTTGACCCTGATAAAGGTAACCCAACAGACTGCAAAGCTGACTCGCGATAAACGGCACACTGTAACCAAAGAATTCTAACAGCTTTAGGCCATACAATGGCACACCAGTATCGCAAACAGCAAGCTCTGAGATAATAAAGACATAGCAGAGAATACTCCAAGTCTGACCAAGGTTACAAATTATACACCACTGTGTCATTTGAATCACACTACTAAAGAAGAAAAGCAGGCTGTACAGTATCGCTGCAGTGTGCACATTTTTTACCTGGCTATGTTGGTCTGGATAACAGAAGAAACACTTCTAGTGAACTACAGCATAAATCCCCATTCTAAATTACACTGGTAGAATAAAAGCTCTTACATCTCCCGCCCCCCGCTTTTACCCCCTTTATACAATTTGACTAGCTCATTTAACTTGAAAAAATTGATCTAGTTTTTCCAGCACAAGCTGTATCTGGTATAGGATATTGTCAAGGTAGCTTCATTGGTAAGTAACAAGTACAGATAGAACTAAAACCTGGTATCTATAAAAAATAAAAGAAGATTATGTTAATCTTTGTACAGCAGAGATTTAAAATCAGCACTAAGAATTTATTCCAATATATTAGTTCTACGTTTCTAAACATTAGGTCAGCAAATTAAGACAAAGAATGAAAATAACTCATAAATAACTTACTGAAGCTATAAAGACACAGTATGAAAGATTACATCTCAGGTAATCTTACATTAAATACAAAGAGTTTTATTATTAATAGGCTACCCACTTAATGTAAGCTGTCAGAACAGATGAGTGGCAGTGAAAATGCTGATAAAAACTGGGCCAAAAAAAGATTTAAAAAAAAATCCAAACTGAAAATGTATTGCCAGAACAAACAACAATTATATTAGAACACAATCACTAAACATAAGTCACTACGACATAAAAGACACTATCCATACTACTCATAAAAGGAAAACAGATTAACTGACCCTGCAGGACCTTTGATTCTGCAAAGCCTTGCAGACAGCCTTGATTTCATTCACTCTGAGCAGAAGTCAGAAGTGCTAACAACCAATACGAGCAGGATTAAACCCATTATAGCAGCACATGAGGACAACTAAAGATTTAAGAAACTAGGCGCCAAAAATATCAGTCTTTGATTTTAAAATAATCAATACCTTTAGACAAAAAATTAATAAATGCTGAATTTACAAAACTTTAGTCTTGATGTGCTGCTTGTCAGCTTCAACAGTAACTTGTATATCCAAAGCTGTCTAGAACAAGGTATAGCTGAAAAATTTCTGACCAGTGTGATAGAGACTAGTTTTATTAAGACTAATGGAAAATCTAAATAGAGTTGTCAACTTCACCTATTTCAGGAAACAGCAAGTATTTGCAATGAAGACTTTGATTCTGCAACAAAGCTATTAGTGGTCATTGTTATATCTCATCTACGACAAGAATGAGAATTTGCTTAGTGGCTCAAATTATGCTTACATCAGAGTCCCATACATATATGAAATTGGTCTTAATGACAGGAATTTTTAAACAAATGCAATGCTGCTGAAAAATGTCACATAACTAAACATTAAATCA